ATTCCTGTGCTTACCCGTGCCCCGGGCCTGCGCTGGGCGATACACTCACCACCCGGTATTCCTGTGCTTACCCGTGCCCCAGGCCTGCGCTGGGCGATACTCTCACTACCCGGTATTCCTGTGCTTATCCATGCCCCGGGCTCTGCTCCATCCTCATAGTTTGTGTTAAACTTGAGCCCATTGTAGCCGCTGCTCGGCCTTTCATCTCGTTGGGGGGTTCTTCCTCTCCTTCACTAACCTTCCACTTTACCAAGCATGATGCCCTTCAGAGACTGGATCCTCCTGATCACATGTCCCAAAGTATGAGAGACGAAGTCTCCATGTTTGCTCTTCCGGCAGTCTGCTGTATCTTTCGTATTCTTCTCCACATATGATGGAGACGGGGGCTCTGAGGGGTCTTGCTATTCACCCACATGGCAAAGGGGGCTTCTCTGAGGGGCCCATGTTCCTCCCACCTCAGTGGGAGGCAGGAAGCATTCCCCAGGAGTTTGACCCTGCCACCCCCCAACACCATAGAGGACCCCAAGCACACATGTGATTCTGGTCTGGCAATTTTTATTTTGTGGAATTTGTTTTGTTAGGTAATAGTAACACGTTATATATAATCTGTTTTTTAAATGAAGATGAGAGACTGACACGGTTTCATACATGAGACAAATAGCCGCGCTCATTTCACATGCAGCAGTGAGGGCAGGGGGGCAGTGAGGCCGTCAGAGACTGGCTTGGCGGCTTCCTGCAGGCTCCCGGGCCTGTCAGAGCAGGGGATGATGGGTTTGCAGCTGTGAGGTCACAGTTACCATGTGGGGGTGCTCCTCCTCAGCCCCCAGCTCTCAGGAGCACAGAGGCCAGAAGGCTGTGGAAGGCGAGGCCAACTGAAATGTTCTCCTGAAGGCTGCCCCATGGCCAGGCAGTACCATAGGGATCAAGGCCAGGGGCTTTAGATCATGGCTGGCATGCTAGCGCTGGGACCACCTCCTTAAAAGCCATCAGGGAGGCCACTGACTTCCAGTGTCATGTCCCTTGTAAATGGCCACTGGCCAGAAGCTATTTGGGAAGTCCTGTGAGGCTCTCTGGCTGGCCCCTGAGCCTATCTGTGTCTGGTCACCTCTCTTACAGGATTAGGATCCAGCGCCTGGCATGACCTTCCGAGACTCGGTTCCAAACAAGGTCATGGCCACAGGTTCTGGGCTAGGAGCTAATGGCATCTTTTAGGGGACACGGTCCATCTGTAACCCCCTCCCCTGTCTTCATTTCAGCACCACCAAAGGTCAGGGAGGGCATGATGCGCCCCCTTATGACCCTGCTGCGCCGGCCCTTGGCCTGGACCTGGGCCTCCGGCTGGTCAGCCCCTCAAAGGCTCAGAAGACAGTGCCCCCTACATAGGGCATCAGCCACCCATGCTGACAGCAGTGCCCCGGTGTTCACCCGAGCGCCAGTGTTTGGTGACAGGACTGCTTTGGTGGACCAACACGGCTGCCACACGTACCGGGACCTATACCAGCAGAGCCTGCACCTGGCCCGGGAGATCTGCAGGCTCCGAGCGTGCCCCGGCGGTGACCTGGCCGGGGAGCGGGTCTCCTTCCTCTGCTCCAACGACGCCTCTTATGTAGTGGCGCAGTGGGCCTCGTGGATGAGCGGCGGTGTCGCAGTCCCGCTGCATAACAAGCATCCGGCGGCTCTGCTGGAGTATTTCATCCAGGACTCCCGCAGCTCCGTGGTTCTGGCCGGCACTGATCACCTGGAGCTCCTGAGCCCCGTGGCCAGCAGGCTGGGCATCCCGCTGTTGGCACTTCCCCCCACCTGCCCTGGGGCATCAGGGGGCCCGGCGGGAGCAGACGCACCGGCTCCCCACTGGCAGGAGTGGGGCTGGCAGGAGCGGGACGCCATGATCGTCTACACAAGCGGCACCACGGGCCAGCCCAAGGGCGTGCTGAGCACCCACCGCAACATCAGCTCCATGGTGAGTCCACGCGTTGTCGTGGGGCGTGTGTGGCCCTGCGGCCAATCCAGGCATCATCAGGAAGGGGACTTGGGGTTGTCCAGCCGTGCTCCCACCGCAGCGGGCCTAATTGACCCTGTGGCGTAGCTGGTCATGATCGGCAGGGCTGACGGTTCCACAGTCAGTGCAGACGGAAGGGCCCAGGGCCCCGTGGAGGGCCTCACCTAGCACTGACCACTGCAGGTGACCATGAAGTATTTACAAGAAACCAGCCATGGAGTGGGTGTTCAGGGCATGTGACCAGGAACTACGAATGATGTTTATCCATTTATTTGGGGAAACCCAGAAACAGAAATCACTGCCACATGTGCAGGGCCTCAGGCATTCTTTTCCCCTTCTTTGTAAACCCCAGCCAATGTCTCCGTCTGTCTTCTATGCACTGCTTACTCCCAGGAAGTGTTTGTATTAAGACACTCGACCTAAGGGCCTGTAGATTGGAAATAAAAGGTCAACACCACACAGAGGGAGGCGGGACACCGACTCCATGCCGTCTTCGAGGAAAACTTGACTGCCTTGGTCTTACGGTGTCTGCTTAGCTCTGGGCTGTTGGCCTGACTGAGTTGTCCATTACTTCCCAGAATGCTCACCTGTCTGGAAAGGCCTCCTCTCTGAGGGGAGGGTCCTGCACCTGCCCCCACTTGTCTCTCACTGGTGCCTATGGGTCCTGCAGGTGACAGGGCTGGTGGACAAGTGGGCGTGGACGCTGGACGACGTCATTCTGCATGTCCTCCCACTGCACCACATCCATGGCATTGTCAACAAGCTTCTCTGTCCACTCTGGGTGGGCGCTGTCTGCGTGATGCTGCCCGAGTTCAGCGCCCAGCAGGTGAGTGGTGGGGGCCCCAGGCCCACTGTCTCCGTGGCCATGACGCAGGCCAGAGCTTACGGATTTACTGTGCACCTGCGAGAATGGGCCCTGAAGTTGAGGTGTGGGTGGCCGGGGCCCAGCGCTCACCTCACTCTCCAGCTCCCCCAGATGCTGTGACTTTGGCTCTGGACCACACACCATTCACCCATTCACTGCTCTCTCGTATTGTCATCCCAACTGTGTCACAGCCCCTCTGCCCACTCCCTGTGCGTGCCCTATGGTCACACACGGACGCAAGACACCCCTCAGACCCTCCTCTTCCTCCCGTAGCTAACCTAGTGCCCCCTGAGGTCATGTTCCTGGTCTTGGATGAGCACAGGGGCCTCTTTGTCTGTCTGTCTGCCTGTCTGCCGAGCACACGTGTTCTCAGTGGCTCAGTTTTGCATTCTCTGCTCTTGTCCTTTTTGGACAGTTGGTCCCTCCCCTGTCCATGGATAAGTCCAGAATCAGAGCTGCCGTGGACTCTGGCTCCTGAGAGCCCTGTGTGTGTCTGAGTAGGACTGCGGGCTCCTCAGAAAGAAGATATGACTCCATTTCTGCAGTCATCAAGCTGACTTCCTCTCATTCTGGGACTCCCCTCTGCTCCCCCATCCAGCCTCTTTCAGAGCCAGCACCCCTGAGACCTTCAGGACCCAGGAGCCGGGCTCCTGGTTTATCCCTTGCTCACTGAAAGTCCCCCACGTCTTCACTGACAGCAAGAGGCAGGACTCCCAAGCCACCTGGTGTCTCAGAGCACACACTGGCTTTATGAGTGGGCGGCTGTGAGAGCGCATCCTTGCTCCCATGATCCTCGGGCTCGTCCTCTGAAAGGGAAACTTCCCGCATAGACCAGGCTCCAGAGCCTCTGGTGTACTCCCTGAGGGAGAGTATACACCGCATGCCAGTTCTTCCTTAGAGATTTAAAGGTAAATGTGAGACATTTAACTGGTTGTTGTTGTTAAGTGCCATCGAGTCGGGTCCGACCCATAGCGACCCTGTACAGGGTTTCCGAGGGTGTAAATCTTTACGGGAGTAGAAAGCCTCATCTTTCTCCCGCGGAGCGGCTGGTAGTTTCGAACCGCTGACCCTAAGGTTCGCAGCCCGATTCGTAATAAAAATCATTATGTTAAAACAAGAAGCGCGTATTATGGAGTAAAGGATGAAATTCCTGGGAAGTTTGGGAAGAAACAGAAGACTTGAAATGCTTGCACCTGTTGGTGCCTATTGGTACCAGACCCAGTGCCAGCCAATGGGGCATCCTGGCTCCTAGGACGGCTCCGCAGGCTGCCTGCCAGCTTTCGTGAGGCTGCATCCACTTCTCTCTGATAGCCGGATGTGTCTGAGGAGTGGAGACCCAAGACTGGAGCTATGCTACCCCGGCTCGTCTCCCTGTTCTTCGTCCTCATGGTCATTTCTGTGGGAATGGGCCAAGGGGTATGCTTATAGGATTCCTGACCATTAATCCAAGGACAGGCCTTCATCCTGAAGACCCTAAAACAAACCTGCAGGTGCTCAGGCCTCATCTGTCTGTCTGTTTTAAACTTATGTCTGTTGCCTTCCTTTGCTCCTTTCAGGTTTGGGACAAGTTCCTGAGCACTGACATTCCACGGGTCAATGTGTTCATGGCGGTGCCAACAATCTACTCCAAGCTGGTGGCCTATTACGACCAGCACTTCACACAGCCCCATGTCCAGGAGTACGTGCGAGCTGTGTGCCAGGAGAGGGTCAGGTGAGCTCACCCCATAGTGACCGCTTCCCCAAGTGTCTGGTAGCTGCAGTTTCCCGTTCCTCTCCTTTTCCTTGACATTTTGATTTGCTGTGACCCCACCTGACTCTCGCAGGTGCTTGGTATCGGGTACTCTGGGCACAGATCTGAGTGGGTGAGGCAGGTTCTACCCAGGCTGAGGACCCCAGGCCAGGAGGAGGCCAGGGCGGGGCAGTTGGTGGTGTTGTCGCGGAGCCGCTGAGCAGGAAGTGGGTCTCTGTGCGCTCAGTCAGCCCCCCCTACACTCCCTGCACCCCAGAGTATGAGGTGGGTCTCTGTGCGCTCAGTCAGCGCCCCCTGCGCTCCCTGCACCCCAGAGTATGAGGTGGGTCTCTGTGCTCTCAGTCAGCTCCCCCTGTGCTCCCCGCACCCCAGAGCAGCAGTTGGGTCTCTGTGTGCTCAGTCAGCACCCCCTACGCTCCCCACACCCCAGAGTATGAGGTGGGTCTCTGTGCGCTCAGTCAGCCCCCACTGCGCTCCCCACACCCCAGAGCAGGAGGTGGGTCTCTGTGCTCTCAGTCAGCCCCCCCCCCCCCCTTTCCCCCCGCCACACTCCCCACACCCTAAAGCGGCGCTGTCCCGTCATGTGTTACCACTGCTGCAATTTAGGGTTACTTGTGAGCACATCATAATTATGAGATGCTGCCAGAGACCTCGCTACAACCTAAAACCTGAGCCCCCAGATCAGCAGTCACACTGTCCCCTAGACCACAGCTGTCATCGTGACTGTGAGCAGTGGTGTGTGTCCTGAGCCCAGGAGGGCCAGGCTCCTAACTCTCTGTGTGTCTGGGGCCAAAGCAGGCCAGGAACTGCAGAGCTGAGTCACCTCTGCTTGGGTTGTGCAGGCTGATGGTCTCCGGCTCGGCCGCGCTGCCCCTCCCAGTGCTGGAGAAGTGGAGGGCTATCACGGGCCACACCCTGCTGGAGAGGTACGGGATGACAGAGATCGGCATGGCTCTTTCCAACCCCCTGACCACAGCCCGAGTGCCAGGTAGGAGGGTTCCCGGGTCATCACGCCCCTGAGTGCTGGGAATCCCCAGGTGGGCTTACCTACAGAGCAGCAATGTTCAGATGGGAAGGGATGGTGGAAGGGTGACCCAGGGACCAGCAGCTACCCTGTGGAGCCGTCAGGCTGGGAGAGGTTCCCTGGGCACTCGGAGCGGCTTTTCTCATTTTCTACCCACAGTACACCTGGGTTTTCTGAGGAAACGGTGAAGGAAGTCCATGTGTGTCCCATGTCTGTGTAGACTGCCCTGGGGGGCAGGGTGTGCTGGCCAGTTCTGACCAAGGCTATCTGTCTGCTTCCTGCCACATCTTATCCAGGCCCCTCCAGGACAGGAAGTCCCGCCTCCACCCAGCAAAACACACACCCACACACCCAGAAACCTGTCCATCGGTTCCCTCTCCACCTGCCTTCCCTGAAACATTCCTTTGGGTCTTGCCTTTAAATCCAGGCCATCCTGGGTTCTGCCCACAACAAGGACCAGCAAGTGCAGCCCTGAGTGTTGGGTGTTGGCCTCTCCTAGTTCTCACTGGCACATGATGTGTGGGATCCGGCCCACGCGTGTCGTGGTGTGAGATTCTGTGGTGTGGGTAGACCATGGTCACTCACCCACTCACCAGGGGAGGGACGTTTGGGGGGGTCTCACTTTGGGGCACTTATGAAGAACACCGTTATAAACATCTGCAGACAGAATCGTGTGTTCACACTGGTTTTTATTCACCTGAGTAAATAGCTAGGCCTAGGACTCCCAGGTGCCCACTGGATCTGTGTTTGCTGGCTCAGCCACCTGAGGGGCATTCCGGAGGCCCCGCTGGCTTTCATGCCGCTCCACAGTGACGTTGATGCTGATCTTCTGTGCACGCATTTCTCTCATGTTTTTGTGTCTCTGGCTAAGTGTCTCGTCCCAACCTTTAGCCCGCTATTTTATTGAGAGATTTGTTTTCTTATTACTGAGTTGTGAGGATTTTGTTGTTGTTACTTAAAAACTTTTTCCTATTGAAAGCCCACTTCCATCTAGTTGATTCCAACTCATAGCAGCCTATAGGACCGAGGAGAATTGCTCCTTTGGGTTTCTAAGGCGAAATCTGTATGGAAGTAGACAGCCTCATCTGTCTCCTCCAGAGTGGTAGGTAGGTTCGAACCACCAACCTTTTGGTTTCTAGCCAGTGCTTTCCACACTGTGCCACCAGGGCTCCCTTTAATTCTGGATAGAAGTCTTTCATCAGATATGTGTTTTTTGAATATAGTCTCCCAATTGTGGCTTTCCATTCTCTTAACAAAAAAATGCACTTCTGTCAATTTGGTGCCGACTCACTGTGAATCTGTTGTTGAGTGCTGTGAAGTCAGTTCAGTTCTGACTCAGTGACCCTGCACAGCTTCTAAGGAGTGTCTGTGAGCTTGAACCACCAACCTTGCTGTCCAACACATTCATCCACAGTGCCACACGAGGATTCCTGTAGAACAGTCCTCGTGGGTTTCCAAGGCCGTAGTGAATCTTTACAGAACTACCTGCCTCATCTTTCTCCAGTGGAGTGACTGCTGGGTTCAAACCACCAACTCTCCAGTTAGCAGCACTGTAACAGCTGTGTCACCAGGCCTCCTTATTCTCTTAACAGCACATTGTTTTTTTTAAATCACTGCCTGATTCTATTTACTTAACATTCTCAAAGTGACAGAGAAATAGAGAAAAGATGAGTGGTTAGCAAAGATTAGGCTTGCTTGTGGTTATTGTGACTATTAACAGCACTTTGTAAAGAGCAGAGGTGCTTGGCACATCCCTTTGTTCTTTTCTGATCTCTAAGAAATCTTTGCTTAGTGCAGGGTCACAAAAATCTACTCCAGTAAAACCTGCAAAAGCCAGACCCTGTGTAAGGCAGAAACCAGCTTGAGAGGAAATCTCAAGTCTTTTCTATCAGTAGAGAGAGACAGAGGAGGGCTAAGGCCATGCTCTGTCAAAGACAGAGACTTGTGAGACCCAGAAAAGAAGGCAGTGTCATCACGTTCCAGCGGTCACAGGCTTCTTCATCACACGGTGCAGTCTTTTCTTTCTTAAAAAAAAAAATTTTATTGTGGATTGAGTGAAAGTTTGCAGGGCAGATCATCAGTTTTACATTTAGCAAATCATGTACTTTGTTTCATGACAATGATTATAATCCCCTCCTTGTACCATCAATTAACAATTTTTCTCTCTATTCATTTTATCTCTTTTTTATTTTTTTTCAAACATTTAGGCATATATAATAATTTAAACCACCAAAGGGCACATTTGGCAAGTCTGCCTCCTGGCCGCCAGCTCTCAATCCCTCTCTTCCCATGATTCTAGAGTCCTCAGCTGCTCCCTCTCTCCATGTCCCTATCTCTACCTCCATTTCCGGTGTCACTGCTTCTCTGGATAAGGTCCTGCATTCTGCTTGTGCTCTTCTCCCTTGATGGTCCTAGGGTCCTCTGTTCCTGGACTGTAAGCTTAACTACTCCCCCAGCTATTGTTACTAAACTTCTACCTTTACAGTTGTGACAGTTGCAGTTGGTTATGATAACAATTACTCACTATTGAATCATAAGAATCTCATCCCCATCTTTTCACCAGACCCATCTAGACAAGATGAAAACTATTCAGTGGGCATTCTACCTTCTCCCGCACATTCTGAAATTAAACTCCCTCTTGAAAACTTATAAGCCAGTCACTTCATGCTTTTATCACACCCTCATTTTAGGTAGCCAATGTCTAAGTTGCCCGTCCCTATCTACCCTGTGTACCGAGGGGATAGCATTGATAATTGATGTGAAGACTCCTTCCTTCTCAGTTGGTATTTTGAGCTATGACCTCCATGACTATAGGTCAAGTTCATTAAATTGTAGCAATTTACACTTGCTTCCTTTATCAAAAATTGTTTTTTTTATCTTCCTCTAGTTGAGTTCTGATTACCAAGCCATCAAGGCTAGGTCAGATGGGTACTATCTGCAAGTCTGGGTGTTCCTGTACGTCTCCCCTTACTTCATATCCTCTGGATGCGTACTGTGCTTTCTTGCAGAAGTCTCATACTCCCAGCTTCCTGTGTAGGTCACTGTGCAGCAGGGCAGGGGGAATAAAGCGAGCACAGCAGGCCCACTGTCCTAGGAAAGGCTGCTGACAAGGCCAGCCTCACTGCTGTCTGAAAGCCTGGATTTCCTTTGTAGTGCTGTGGGTTAATGTGCTGGACAGGTCGGTGGTTCAAGCCCACCAGTCGCTCCTCGGAAACCCTATACAGGGTTGCCATGGGTCGGAACTGACACCACAGCACTTAACAACAACAACAACCTGCCATTCCTTAATTGACAAGGTGGCTCCCCATGCCGTGACTACTGGTTCAGGCCTATGCGGCCTGCCTCTGGGGGTTCTGGAATCTTGGGAGACCATGTGACAGTAATAGCCCAGCGCTGAGTCTTATGTGAACGGCGTTTCATACGGTATCCCAGCACCTCCTCCTGTGGCTCCTCAGGGAGAGGGTCAGGAAGTCCCTGCCTGCCCCACCCCACCTTGCCTCTGCCCTTTGTTACTTCTGTCTGTGTCCTGTTCCTCCATGACTGTGCCCAGAGTGGGGGGCTGCTGCTGTACTCTGAACCTGAGACCCCAGCCTCCATCTGTGCTCTACTTTGAATTAGATTGTGTAGATAGTGCAACTTATATATGTCTGTGTGTATATCTATGGAGTCCTGATGTGATGCTGCAACGTAATGCATTGGCCCACAAGGTTAGTTTGAACTGAAGGGTTGGTTTTCCATAGTCACCAACTGTTCCTTCAAAACTCTATACAGGGTCGCTATGAGTTGGAACTGACTCTACAGCACTAAACAACAGCATATATTTATATGTATGTATAAATATATTTATATATATACGTATATACACACACACACATATGTACACACCTACACACACACGAGGGTGAGTCAACAATTATCTGTGCTCTAGCTGTTGAATTTATTTTAATCAACTTTTAGAAAATACAAATCCATCTTTTTTCGATATAATCTCCTTGCTTTTCAATACTGTTTGTCCATCTGTCAACCAGCTTTCATAATCACTTATGAAAAGTGTTTTAGACTGAGCTTCGAGCCACAAACATACTGCTGTCTTCACTTCCTCATCAGAGGTGAATCTTCGTCCTTGAAGGACTGCTTTCAGGGGACCAAACAGGTGACAGTCCAGTGGAGCAAGATCAGGACTCTAGGGAGGATGCTTCAGCACCTCAAAATGAAGCTTTTGCAGAGTGTCAACAGTGTGGGCAGAGGTGTGTGGACGTGCATTGTCATGCAAGATCACAATGCCCTCTGATAGCAGTCCTCTGAGTTTAATCTGGTTTAGGCTTCAGGTCTTCAGTGAGCATCTCACTGTAACGAGCACTGTTAACTGTTGAACCTTCTTCCTGACAGTGTTCCAGTACTGGCCTCTGAGAATCCCAGAAAACTATAAGCATCAATTTTCCAGCTGATGGTTGATTTTTGAACTTATTCTTGGTTGGCAGTTGGGAATGTTTCTATTCTATTCTCTGTCATTTACTCTCTGGTGTGTAGTGATGAATCCATATCTCATCACCAATAATGACTTTTTAAAAGAAACTTTTACCTTCCTTAAGTATCAGTCCAAGTTTTGTTGGCAGATGTCCAAAGATTCTGTTTACGGTCTTCCATGAGTTGTTCTGGTATCCAGTGGTACTGAAGGAAGAAGTTCAGTGTTCGTTAAAGGCATTGGCAAAATGAAGAGCAGCATATATAAACATCCATTAATAAATGGAACATAGAATGTATGAAGAATGAATTTAGGAAAATTGGAAATTGTCAAAAATGGAATGCATAAACATCAGTATCTTAGACATTAGTGAGCGGAAATGGACTAATATTAGCCATTCTGAATCTGACAGCCACATTGTTTACTATGCCAGGAATGACAAATTGAAGAGGAATAGTAGTGTATTCATCATCAAAAGGAACATATCAAGGTCTGTTTTGAAGTACAGTGCTGTCTGTGATAGTATAATATCCATACCCCTACAAGGAAGACCAATCAATATCACTATTCTTCAAATCAAATTTATGCACCAACCACTAAAGCCAGTGACAATGAAATAGAAGAATTCTACCAACTTCTTCCGTCTGAAATTGATCAAACATGCATTCAAGATGTATTGAGCATTATTGGCGATTGGAATGCAAAGGTTGGAAGCAAAGAGGAAGGATCAATAGTTGGAAAATATAACTTTGGTGATAGAAATGATGCTGGAGATTGCATAATCGAATTTTGCAAGACCAATGACTTCTTCATTGCAAATACCTATGTTAAACAACATTAAAGACAACTATACACATGAACCTCACCAAGTGGAATACACAGAAATCAAATTGACTACATCTGTAGAAAGAGATGATGGAAAAGCTCCATATCATCTGCCAAAACAAGGCCAGTAGCAGACTGTGTAACAGATCATCAATTGCTCATATGCAAGTTCAGGCTAAACCTGAAGAAAAGTAAAACAAGTCCACAAGAGCCAAAACATGACCTTGAACATATCCCATCTGAATTTAGAGATCATCTCAAGAACTGATTTGATGCATTAGACACTGAAGACCAAAGACCGGAAGAGTTGTGGGATGACATCAAGCATATCATACGGGAAGACAGCAAAAGGTCATTAAGACAAGAAAGAAAACAAAGATCAAATGGATGTCAGAAGACTCTGAAACTTGCTCACTAGTGTAAAGATGCTAAAGCAAAATGAAGAAATTAGATAAAAGAGCTGAATAGAAATTTTCAGAGGTCAGCTTGAGAAGACAAAGTTAAACATTATAATGAGATGTGTAAAGACCTGAGTTAGAAAACCAAAAGAGAAGAACACACTCAGCATTTCTCAAGCTGAAGGACTTGAAGACAAAATTCAAGCCTCGACTCAATATTGAAGGATTCAATAGGCAAAATATTGAATGATGCAGAACGCATCCCAAAAAATGGAAGGCATACACAGAGTCACTGTACCAAAAAGAAATAGTCAATGGTCAACCATTTCAAGAGGTAGCATATGATCAAAATCAGAAGTAGTCCAGGGTGCATTGAAGGCATTGGCAAAGAACAAGGCACCAGGAATTGATGGAATACAAATTGAAATCTTTCAACAAACTGATGCAGCACTGGAGGCACTCACTCATCTCAGCCAACAAATCTGGAAGATAACTACCTGGCCAACTGACTGGAAGAGATCCATATCTGTGCCCATTCCAAAGAGGTGACCCAACAGAATGTGGAAATCATCAGGCCATATCATTAATATCATGTGCAAGTAAAATTTTTCTAAAGGTAATACAAAAGCGGCTGCCACCGTACGTTGACAGAGAACGTCCAGAGGTTCAAGCTGGATTCAGAAGAGGGTGTGGCATGAGCGATATCATTGCTGACATCAATTGAAGCCTAGCTGAAAGCAGAGAATACCAGAATGATGCTTACCTTTGCTTTATTGACTATGCAAAGGCTTTCATTTGTGTGGATCATGACAAGCTATGGACAACATTGTGGAGAATGAGTATTCTGGAACACTTAATTGTGCTCACGAGGAACTTGTACATAGACCAAGAGGCAGTTATTCCAACCAAGCAAGGGAACACCGAATGGTTATAATCAGGAAAGGTGTGCACCAGAGTTGTATACTTTCACCATACTTATTCAGTCTGTATGTTGAGCAAATCATCTGAGAAGCTGGATTATGTGAAGAAAAATGTGCCATCAGAATTGAAGGAAAACTCATTAACGACTTGTGATATGCAGATGATACATCCTTGCTGAAAGCGAAGAGAACTTAAAATACTTATACTCGTGAAGATCGAAGACCACAGGTTTCGGTATGGATTGCATCTCAATGTAAAGAAAACAAAAATCCTCACCACTGGACCATTAAACAACATCCAAATAAATGGAGAAAAGATTGACGTTGTCAAAGATTTCATTTTGCTTGAATCAACCATCAACACTCAAGGAAGCAGCGGTCCAGAAATCAAACGATGTATTGCATTAGACCAGTCTGCTCCACAAGACCTCTTTAAACCGTTGAAGAGCAAGGATGTCAGTTTGAGGACTAAGGTGTGCCTGACCCAAGCCATGGTATTTTCAGTAACCTCATATGCATGTGAAAGTTGGACAGTGAATAAGGAAGACCATGGAAGAATTGATGCATTTGAGTTATGGTGTTGGAGGAGAATATTAAAAATACAACGGACTGCCCAAAGAACAAGCCAATCTGTGCTGGAAGTACAACCAGAATGTTCCTTGGAAACCAGAATCGCCAGACTTAGTCTCTCCTACTTTGGACATAATATCAGGAGGGACCAATCCTTGAAGAAGGGTATCGTGTTTGGTAAAGTGAAGGGTTGGAGAAAAAGAGGAGACCCCCAAGGAGATGAATTGGCACAGTGGCAGCAGTAGTGGTCTCAAACGTAGCTACGATTGTGAGGGTGTAGGACTGGCAGTGTTTCGTTCTGTCGTACAGAGGGGTCACTCTGAGTTTTACTGACTCAGTGGCACCTAACAACAAGAAACATGGAAATATCAGTCAAGAAATCCAGCTACAGATTGCATTAGGCACATCTGCTGCACAAGACCCCTTCAGAGCTGAGTGTTCAAGAGCAAAGTTGTCAGTTTGAGGACTAAGGTATGCCTGACCCAAGCCATGATACTTTCCATAGCCTCATATGCATGTGAATAAGGAAGACCAAAGAAAAATCAATACATTTGAATTATGGTGTTTGCAAAGAATATTGAAAGGACCATGAACTGCCAGAAGAACATGCAGATCTGTCTTGAGAGTACAACCAGAATGTCTTTTAGAAGCCAGGATGGCCAGACTGCATCTCTCATATTTAGGACCCGTCCCTGGAGAAGGACATCGTGCTTGGTAAAGTGGAGGCTCAGGGTGTGTGATAAGGTCACTATGACTGTCCGTCTTGAGGGGCCTGTATGTCTCCAGGCCCCACCCCTCCCATCACAGTGCCCACAGGAATCTCTTATCCCATCTTTTTGTGTTTCCCGCTCCTGCAGGTTCTGTAGGGACCCCGCTGCCAGGGGTGGAGGTGCGCATTGTCTCTGAGAATCCGCAGAGAGACGTCTGCTCCTATGCTGTGTATGCAGAGGGAAACGAGAGGGAAACCAAGGTGTGTCGGCTTGGGGGCTGTGTACAGATGTGAGTGGAGGGGCCACCAGCTCGGGAATCGTAGGAGCCTCTTCGGGAGCAGCCCCGTCCCGTGCCCAGCCCAGGAATCGTAGGCAGCTCTTTGGGAGCAGCCCCGTCTCGTGCCCAGCCCAGGAATCGTAGGAGGCTCTTCGAGAGCAGCCCCGTCTCATGCCCAGCTCGGGAATCGTAGGAGGCTCTTTGGGAGCAGCCCCGTCTCATGCCCAGCTCGGGAATCGTAGGAGGCTCTTCGGGAGCAGCCCCGTCTCATGCCCAGCCCAGGAATTGTAGGAGGCTCTTCGGGAGCAGCCCCGTCCCGTCCGTGCCCAGCTCTTTGGCTTGCGTGGCTGCTAGTACTGCAGGGGTTGAGCGTGACGTCTGCATTGGCAGACTTGGCACCTTTCTCTTCCCTCCTGGGTGGGACAGCTCCCCCACAGCTTGCCCTGCTCCTGGCTGAGCATTGCAGTGTTGGGAGAGGGGACTGCTCCCCTTGCCTCCTCCTCTATCCTCCTTTATCCACTGACACCCAATACACCTCATCCTACATCATTACCCTTGCTTAATACCTCCCTTTACCCCATCATCTCCCCACTAGCCCTCACCCCCCTCGTTATCCCTCACCCTCCAGTGCAGCTGTGTGCATTGTCCCCGTGATGCGTAGTTTAGGGCCGCCCTCAGCTGGCCCCGCCTGTGAGAGTGCACCACTGTGGGCATGGTCTCATGGTTGACTGACTGATGTTTTGTTCGGTGACAGTGGGCTCCGGCAGCAGCCATGCTACACAGCTGCTCTCGAGGACACCCTGCCACTGCCCATCCCCAGAGCAGCCTCTCTTACTTTCCCCTAAAAGAACAAATGCCCGTGTTGTGCATCCATATACGAGCTGCCACCCTGGGCAGCAGGCTTTCTGCTACCTGTCTCCCTGGCCACACCAGCTCTCCTGTGTCGCCGCCCCCCCCGACACCCCCACTGCCATCTGTCACAGGACCTCTGGGTGGGGGCAGAGCACTGGTCACAGACACCCCAGCCAGCAGCAGTGGTGCTGTGGGGAGGGGGGCGCCCTGGTCTCACTGACAAGCCTACCAGGGTGGTGCTGACCCAACGGATCGTGGCCTCTTAGCTGCCCTGGCAGCACGCATGTGTTCTCTGAAGGACTTGTGAGGCCCCCGTCTGAGCAGCTTTTCTCCCATGGTGTCACCTGTCCATGGTGACAGGAACATGCTGTCTGGGCAGGGGCACTTCCCTGGGCGTTGGACTTCTGTGAACCCTGCCCCCCAGCACTATTCACAAGGACCCAGAGAAGCCATGGGAGCCCCAAAGGACCTGCTTTGTGGCCTCCCACAGAGGAACTGAGCACTGCAGCTTGAAGGGGTTCGGAGGTGTCATTTCCCCTGGGGCTTTTCAGCAGATCTCTGCCGACAGTGACCAGAAAGGAGTGGTAGGCTGGACAACTGTAGCTCTCGGGCCACAGGATGCACCACTGCCGTCTGGGGCCGTAACCATGAGCACATTCTGGGGCAGCAATGCTCAGGGTGGTGGGATATCAGCCGCAGTGCTGCTGGCCCGAGTATGGCCGGGGTGAGGACCCGCCTAGAGACTGTGTGAAGCCCAGCCTCTGAGGGGCTTCTGACCTGCACACCCAGCAGGCTGAGTGCGCACCTGGGGGTCTGGGACATCCACTCTCCTGTCTGCTGTAAACAGAGGACAAGCTGATCCACCAAGTGGGACTCCTCCAGACTCTGACTGCCCAGGGCAGGGGCCGCGGGGCCTGAGGTGGCCACCACAGGGCCCTGATTCTCTGTACCTCTACAGGTGACCCCAGGCTTCGAGGACAAGGAGGGAGAGCTCCTAGTTAGGGGACCCTCGGTGTTTCGGAAATACTGGGACAGACCCGAAGAAACGAAACTCGCCTTCACCCCAGATGGCTGGTTTAAAACAGGTGGGACCTGTGGGCAGGGGCACTGGTAGGGCAGGATTTGGGAATCTGTGGGTGAGGGAGGTGGGTACTTCTAGGGTAGACCGTCTGCAGGCACCTCTAGCGGGAGCCAGGTCCCCCAGTGTGCCTTTGCTGTGTCCCTAAAAAGACGTCAGATCAAGGTGTGGATTGAGTCAGTGCTGAATGGCCATGATCCCTGGTGCCAGGGCACCTGTACTCCACCTGCCCCAGGTGTGACGGCCTGTAAGTCAGAACACTGTGCGGAAGAGTGGGGGGGTGCAAGTGGACTTTGCAATCTCCCCCCTCAACTCTTCTGCAGCAAGACCTCCATCAGCACCCCCATTTCCTCCATCTGCCCTCCCCACCTCAGGCCGATGGAGATGCTGCACACATCTGAGGCAGATTAGGGAGTGTTGTAAAGAGAGACATGCTGAAGGGGCACCTCGTGCCCAGATCCCTGAATGCTGTCTGTCCCATCAGTCTCAGACTCATGTGGACAGAGGGGCGGGCCACACTGCTCAGCTAGTCTACACCTGGAAACCTGGCTGGGCTGGCAGGCAGGGACCCCAGTGGTGTCGGAGTGCCCTGGGACCCAGCCTTCCTGGAATTTGGTGAGCCCATTGAGTGGGTGGGGATAGATGATGCGTCCTCTGCTGAGGGTTGGGGAGACAGAGTGACTTTTGCTCCCTAATGGACTGACTGACTTAGGGTCAGGGCGGTCCTGTGCCGGTCATCCCAGGGTCACCACAGCGAGCTTCCCCTCTCAGTCCCCCTCAGCTACACATCTTTCTGCTGCTTCTCCGCTTCCCTTCCACAGTGGTTCGTGCGGACGGGGTGGGACGGCCATGGAGCTAAGTCACGTCTCCAGGACAACTGAGGGTCCTTGGGCTGGGCAGTAGAGTGTGTGCAGAGTCATGGGGTTTGAAGAGGAAACATCTCGGCCCAGTGGATCATGCACCCCGGGGCCGCCTGCTGCCAGGCCCACGCTTGAGCAGGGAAGCTATGCAGACCCCCTGCGCCTTCAGTCTCTGTGTTATGATGAGCCGGCTCCCGTCTCTGAGCCCCCTGCGATCCTGCCCAGTGTCCAGGTGTGCAGACCTCTGTCTGTCTGTCTGGGACAGGTGCTGTGATGAGCCGGCCCCCGTCTCTGAGCCCCCTGCGATCCTGCCCAGTGTCCAGGTATGCAGACCTCTGTCTGTCTGTCTGGGACAGGTGCTGTGATGAGCCGGCCCCCATCTCTGAGCCCCCTGCCATCCTGTCCAGTGTCCAGGTGTGCAGACCTCTGTCTGTCTGTCTGGGACAGGTGCTGTGATGAGCCGGCCCCCGTCTCTGAGCCCCCTGCCATCCTGCCCAGTGTCCAGGTGTGCAGACCTGTGCGGCACCACCTCATTGCCCAAGTCCTGCTGCCTGAACCCATTTGCTCTCATCCTCAGGGTTCTTCTGCTGGCCCTGGCCTGGCTGCAGTGAGGGGGCACTGGAGGTGGCTGGGTGCCGTGTGCAGGTCCCGCCTGATGAAGGTCCCAGTCGAGAGGAATCGCATACATTCATTATTGTAAAGAGATGTCTTTGGGAGAAAATGATTTTGAAATTCCGTTTAATTTCATTGTGATGCTCTGCAAACAGGAAGGGATGTATGCGTCTAATTGGCTCTCGGGGGTGCGGCCTGGGAGCCGGTGCCTTTGTCACAGGCCATTAACGACACAGACTGTATAATGAGAAGCCACAGTCAGCGCGCAGCTGCTGCTCCTGTGGGGGAGGGCAGTCAGGGAGATGGGCTTAACCCTCGGCTCACAGAGGCCCACTGCAGGCTGGGAGCCCGGAGCCCAGTCAACCCCCCACCACCACACACGCACGCACACGCACACGCACATGCCGCATATACAAAGAGCAGGCTCAGTCCCTCCACATGCAGAGAGTAGACCCGGTTCCCCCTCCACATACTAAGGGCAGCTTCAGTCACAGCTCCTCCCACATCTATGTAGCAGACTAGATCCATACATACGTGATGTGGGGCTAACAGCAGTGTTGGGGGGGGCAGCACCGTGTGACAGAGCATGTCCTGGGGGGGGCTCAGCACCGCATGACAGAGCATGTCCGGGGGGGGGGTCAGCACCACGTGACAGAGCATGTCTGGGGGGTGGCACCGTGTAACAGAGCATGTCCGGGGGGGGGGTGTCAGCACCATGTGACAGAGCATGTCCTGGGGGGGTGGCACCGCGTGACAGAGCATGTCCAGGGGGGGTCAGCACCACGTGACAGAGCATGTCCGGGGGGGGGGGTCAGCACCATGTGACAGAGCAGAGTCCCCCTCCCGCCAGCCGTATCTTGGGGACGTGCTGATTACAGTCTGGCCGCCTCCCCCCCCCCCCCCCCCCCCTGGATTTTGGGGGGGGGTTTTTTACACCTCCCCCCCCCCCCCCCCGGCTCCCTGGCAGCACTTGAATCAGAAGCGGCTCTAGTTGTGTCTGCAGGTGGTACTAAGGTTTGTGTGACCCTGCTGCTGTCGAGAGGCAGTCTCCACTCTGTGGGTAAAGGTCCTTGGTGTCAGCCCACCCCCAGGCCAACTCAGAGCCAGTACCAGACACGGGGTCCCCACAGCAGGTACGTGGGGTCCCCGAGGTATCCACGAGTCCCCATGCTATAGAGCAGCAGGGACACAGCCATGACATCATGGACACATGCCCCTCATCTCAGGGGTGTTGATGGTGTGGTGTGTAGTGGAGTCGGTTCCGACTTATAGTGACCCTGTATGGGGTTTCCGAGGCTCGTCTTTGTCCCGCAGAACGGCTGGTAGCTTCGAACTGCTGACCTTTTGGTTAGCTGCCTGACTCGTAGCCACTGCGCTACCAGAGCTCCCTAGAGAGGGTTTCCTGGGAGTGGCTGGTAGGTTTGAACCTCCAGCCTTCTGGTGAGCCCTAATATTGATTGATTGACAAGTGAAGGAGCCCTAGTGGCACTGTGACTAAGGTGTTGGACTGCTAACCTAAAGGTTGGTGGTTCAAACCCCGTAGTTGCTCCGCAGGAGAAAGATGTGTCTGCTCCCATAAAGCTTTATAGTATTGGAAACCCTATGGTGGGGGCTGTGAGTGGGAACCCACCGCATTGCAGGGAAGTAATGACAAGGGAGTGTGGGGGGGGGGTACACTCAGGTAATCAGGGAACAAAAGACACCCACATATGAACTGGGTTAACAGAGCACCATGCCTTGTCACAGTCATCTCACATTGATGACAATATTGAGAAAACCTCTCGCATTAACAGTGTGTGTCCGGCAGTAGCGAATGCTGAGGTGCGCACTGAGAGTCAGGCTGTCCGTGGTGGGTCTGGTTGTTGTGTAAGGTTGTAAGGCATCCGTAATGATGTAGCCAACCTCCATTTTCTGGTGCTGTAGTCTGCCCACGTTTTTGTGTAATGCCAGTTTTGCTATAACCATCTAATCTTGGGAAGCTAACCATGTTGATAAATGAGAAAGGGTGTGTTCTCATCAGAGGAAACTTTTTAAACATATCACTAACAGAACAGCAGGAAACGAAGCCTTCCCATGAGTCAGTGCACATTAAGGGGTACTTGTTCTCAGGGGACTTTGCAGCCTTGTGGAAACAAGGGCTGGGTTTGTATACACTGAAGAGTCAGCTCCACAACTCCCTCAGTCCCCGTGGGGAGAACAGCACAAGAGGACTGCAATTGTGAAAAACAAAATCTAGATAATAAGACTTCACTTCCCTCGTGACAAAAGGGTAAACGGAAACGTCTTAGCAAAGATTGCTAAGAAGTTGATGTCATTGCAGCAAGCCAGATATGTCCCCACCCAGTGGGTGGAATTGTCAGTGAACCCATCAGAGGGGGTCCGACCCAGAGGCATCCATGGAGATGACCGGGGCAACGGCTGCTCCCCCAGTGCTGGTGGTGAGTGCAGCCACCCCTCCAGTGGGACATGGTGAGGCCCCTAATATTGAATGACTCAGGGCAGTCTCTGCTGCCTCGCGGTGTGTGTGAGTACCTGTGTCTCACAAGCTTGAGCCGTGTTTGTGTGGTGCACACGGCTGCCTCTGGGGGCGCTCTGCACCACTTTTATTTCTCCCTTTGATTTTTTTTCTCTCATTTTTTTCTCAGTAAGCTTTTTACTCTTATAAAGCATTCCACATGGACGTTCACACCTTTTGGTGCAAATCAGACCCCGTAATAACACTTTGCAAGAGGCAGACTTGCCGAAACACGGGCAAAGTTTGTTCGCTTCTCATCCAGGGCTGTCCTGATCACTTTGTCTTCAAGGAGCTCTTTTACCTAGACCCAGAATCGTCCCAAGAACATAGGGAGCCAACGCAGGGTGTCAGTGGTCACCCAGGTGAGGGAGCCACCTTATGGCCACCCTAAGCCTCAGCCGGAAGGTGCTCAGCTCTGGCTCTGTGTCAGCAAACCTCGCTCCCCCATGTGAGTACCTGCAGACCCTCAACTCTACACGCCAGCTTTCTGCCCAGAGTCGCTCCGCCGTTGTTGGGCTGTGGGCTGGGACGCCCACTGCTCCGTCACATGCTCTGGTTCTTGGTCCTCCTCGCCCTCTGACCTCCCCATTGTTACAGACTTTTGTCCCTGGGGTCGAAGAGGTTCAGTGTGCAGGGGTTTCGGGGGTCCAGGGGTCATGTTCTACTCCTGACTCTCTGATGGTAGTGAGATTTGCCCTCCTACTTCTAAGATGTTTTCACAGTCCCAGTGAACTCAGTGAACATCCACAGCTGAACCATGTCACCCTGTCCGTATCTTCTCCCACCTTCTCCTACCAGAACCTAGCGGGGCAGATACGTTATTTGGTGGGAGTTAGGGCATCAGGAGCTGCCCTGGCACTCGTCCAGAAATGAGGCTGAGCCAGGGAGATGTGTCTGCAGTCACGGGTCCAGGCTGAGGAGAGAGCACATCCGGCTCCAGTTGGCATCCCCCAGCTGCAGAGAGTGAGGTTGCATGGTGGCTTTACCTGAAGTCACGGAGGTCAGAGGAAGAAGGAAGCTTGCTGGCGGAGACTGCGTTGTGGAGAACGTTTGCTGTGAATTTCAAAGTGATGCTGCATCCCAGAGACGGTCCCTTCTGGAAGCGTGAGGTCCTGGGGTGCTATGTGTTGCGGTCCTTGTCTATGTCTCTGAGGTCCTTGGTCCTGTGCTACCATGATCGACTGAGACGAGAACAGAACATGGGAGGTGACTAGACCACTGCAGCATTCTGCAGGGGGCACGGGACCAGGCTGGGACAGGATGCATGATGCCTGGCCTTCCTCCTGGAGGGCTGCTGGCAGTGGACACCTAGCCCCTTCTGGAAACCACAGGCAAAGAGCAGGATACCTGTGCAGGCAGGGCTGAGCCGGCCCCAACCCTGGCCAGGTAACAGATTGGGCTGGCTCCTGCAGCCGTGTTGGGACAGGTGAGGACAGACACCACCCCCGCTTCGGGGGCCTCTTGTGCACACAGCAGATGGAGGGTTGGGGGAGACTCCGCACTCAGCCCTCTCCTGACCTGCCTCCTGATGTGCACGTTTCTCGTCCTCATAAATTTGCTAAATGTCTGTTCTTTCATCAAAGAAGAATCGCTGAATTATTCTGTTTTCAGCTCTTGTGATGGCTTGTGAGTGGTGAGCCCACACTGGGGCCTGAGAAAGAAGGGTGCTCCTTGAAACGCCCTTCCTGGCGTGACAGTGGGGTTGCAGGGAGTTGTAAAGCTAATACAGGGGTCTTGTACTGCCCTCAGCCCAGGCCACCTGTGTCAGTGGACATTGTTCAGTCCATGTCGCCTGCTCAGCGGGAGACCACCACTAAGATACACACTCGTGGGGGTGTCTCTTTGCATGTGTGTGTAGCCCTCTGCCATGCTGCCTCACGTGTAGACCCGTTGGCCAATCCCCAGCCTCAATTCAGAAGCAGGATTCACTCGTGCTCTCCCTTCCCACCTAGACCCACCCTGAGCCTGACCACCCGGCCTCTGTTTTGTGTCACTCAGCATGGTCCCCTCAAAGTGCATCCGCTCCCAGCATTCCATGCTGGGGCTGCGCCGCAGTCTGTCCACTGGCCAGTGAGGGGCGTCTGTGATCTTCACAGCTCCTGGGGATTGTGAATACAGCTGCTGTGGATATCCATGTACACGTTTCATGTGAACATGTTTTTATTTCCCCATGATCAATACTCATGAATGCAATTGTTGGAGGTAGGATAGTTGCATGTTTATTTTTTAAAGAAGTTGCTAAGCCCCCTTCCAGGGTGGTTGACCATTTTATGTTCCTCCCAGCAGTGTGCGAATGGCTGTCTTCCCTGTCTGCTCAGCACCATGTGGTGGTGCCGCTGGTTTATTCTAACCGTTCTGATAGGAGCGTAGGGGTGTCACATTGTGGTTTTTGCCTGGTATCTCCCTTGTGGTTAACGATGTTGAACAGCTTTTCAGGTGCTTACTTGCCATGTGGATATTGTCCTGGGTGAAGTGTCTCTTTGTACCTTGTCCCATGTTTTATTAGATTGTTTGTTGGTCATGCTGTTGTGGTCTGAGAGCTCTCCGTACCCTCGTCAGATATTCAGTGTACAGATACTTCCCCCAGTCTTGTCTTTTCATCCTCCTCCCAGAGTCTTACAGGGAGCAAGCATTCCAGTTTTTCCACGGTCCCTTTTATGCATACTCCTGCTGCCTAACCGTAGAACTTTCTGCCTAGTATAGGCCCAAGGGCTCTGAAGGAGGGCCTCTCCCTCACCTCTGCCATCCGAGAGCTTTAGAACGACTCTGTGGTGAGCCTAGGGCAGTGGTTTAGGACGACTGTGCGGTGGGCTGTGGCTGGCGATTGGAGATGACTGTGCGGTGGGCTCTGGCAATGGTTTCGGATGACAGTGCAGCAGGTTGTGGAGGTCCACAGGTGATGACCTGTGTCCAGCATGTCCTGAGCAGCTCCAGCCTCTGACCTCTATCTCAGCCCAGCTGGAGAGGAGTGTGGGGACCTCTGTGCACCCCCTCATTCTGCAGAGAAAACTGGAACACCTCCACCCCACATGTCCTCCCAGCCCATACGCCCAGCGTCAGTCTTGTTTACCAGGCTGGACAGCGTGGGCCATGGCCAGCTCCAGACTGCACTGTGATAGAGGGTGCCTCCCCTGGTTGACCATGATGAAGCATGAAATATTCATGTTTTATTCCAGCTGATAACCTGGTGTGAAATGTGGGGCGACTCTGGACAGATGAAGGTACATCGATGCTGCTCCCCAAGTGCAGGGGTGTAAGACCCCACACATGTACACACGTGTGTACCTGTGTGCACATGGCCACACATGTATACTGTTCACACTCGTATACACATGCTCGCAGAAACCCACACATGTAGTGCTCACATGTGTATCTAGCTCACACCTGTGTACACATGCTCACACATGTCCACCTGTGTACATGTTCTCAGACACAGTAACGTGTACAGTGATGATACCTGTGTACATGTTCTCAGGCACAGTAACATGTATACAGGGCTCCTACACAACCACATGTGTACAGTGCTCACACCTCTTTACTTGAGCTCAGAGTAACATGTGTACAGTGCTCACACATGTCCACGCATATACACTGCTCACACCTGTGTACATGTGCTTCCACATGCCCACATGAGTACATGTGCTCAGAACTTACACATTCCCACACATACTCACATGCCCACAAGTGTTATAAACTCATGCTCAGATACATCTGTACACTTGCGCACACACTAGTACACCTGCCCACACATGCTCACACCTGCTCACATACTCTTACACACTTACATGTGTACCCTCACACCATGACACGCCACCTGTCCTGGGACTGCAGCTCCAGCCGTCACAGTCAGCTCCCGCATGGTTATGACTGTACAGGTGGACACGTGATGACATGTGCATGTTCCCTCACTCACACCTGTTCCTTCATGTCGAGCACCCTTCACCTTTAACAATGATTCCATCCTCGTCAACTGTGTGCTCCCCACCCCCACTCAGACACTGTGGGCTCTGGGCACTTGTGTGTCCTACATGTTTCAGGTCTGTGCAGACATTCTGCATTGGTCCTTTTATGATGACGTAGCTTCTTGTCAAGGTCAGCCTGTGGGAAGGGGAGCTCGTCTGTGTGTGAATGAGCCACATCTTCATTGTCATTGGTTCACAGATCATTGAATGTTTCCTTCTCTTTCACACTTATGTTTTCTTCTAAGACTTTTATGATTTTAATGCTTTCCTTAGGTGCTTGATCTCTCTTAAGGTTTGTCATGTGTGATGACTTTGCTTACGTCGATGAGCTGTCCAGCATCATTTAACGAGAACACTGTTCTTTCTAGCCGTGCGAGCGCACACCCTACTCGGTAGAATGTAGATGTGTGGTTTCTTTTCCTCCCTTCTTTACAATGATTGGTGATGCTTTTGTTGAGCATAATGTGCCCTGAGCTGCTCGTGAAAGAATCACTGTGTGCATGGTGGGGCTGTGCCCATAAGGCGGGGCTGTGGAGGCTATAGCACACACAGTACGAGACATAGGTGAGACGTCACCTCACGCAGGCCCAGCAGGACCTGGGAGTGTTAGGACATCTTACTGGGATTCCTGGGTATGCTCTCCAGGCATGCACTCAGCCTCTACCAACATCTCCAAGTCCATCTTTACATGCTGCCAGAAGGCCAGCCTGTTCCCTTAACCAGGTGGACAGACACTTGCTTCTGCAGCTCCTGTCAAACCCAGCAATCCTGTCCTCTGTGCTGAAGGAGCGGGTGGAGGCATGGACCTCCCAGCAGTTGGGCTAAGACCTGTCCAGGGGTCTGCACTGAATGGGTGAAAGACCTGCCCTCATGGGGACAGCGGCATCTCCAAAGCCCTGTCGTTGCTGAGATGGGGGGAGGACGCTTGCTGACCACATCGCTGAAGACCTCGGTGAAGTCCACAGACAATGTCACCAGACCGTCCAACAGCCAAGGCATTGATGATCCCAGTGGATTAGACTGCCGATCAGACCTGTGTGATCAGGGAGACGAGGACCATGGGCCTCACCCCAAACACACACACACACGCGTGCCAGGCAGTGGGCAGACGCCATGTGCCCCTCGGTGCTGTCCCCTCAGGACTGCCAGCACCCCATATGTGGTGACTGCAACAGCCAAATGTAGGAGCGAGGTGCCCCCGTGCACATGTTCTCTGTTCACCTGTCTAGGCAGGGTGCCAACAGTAGCCTCCTCTCTCCAGGCGACACGGTTGTGTTCAAGGACGGCAGGTACTGGATCCGGGGCCGGACCTCAGTGGACATCATTAAGAGTGGTGGTTACAAGCTCAGTGCCCTGGAAGTGGAGCGCCACCTGCTGGCCCACCCCAGCATTACAGGTGAGTGACCAGACCAGTGTCCAGGAAGCTCGGAAAGGTAGGAGGATCCAGGTGTTACTGGGAACCCAGGATGATGGGTCCTAGAGGGCATGAGGGGAGGCCAGAGCAAGGTGGTGCCTGGCCTCCCCCTAGCTGCTCCCACCACAAGTACCTCCCTGTGGAAGCCGGAGTCCTGGGCAGAGCATGGCCAGCAGCCCCGGCATGGTCAGCTGCTGCCCACCCAGTGCCTACTCCTCAGAGGTGCTGTCTGCGCCTGCTGTCCCCCAAAGAACCTCCACCGTGTCTGTGCTTTTTATCCACAGATGTGGCTGTGATTGGAGTTCCTGACATGACATGGGGTCAGCGGGTCACTGCTGTGGTGACCCTCCATGATGGACACTCACTGTCCCTGCAGGAGCTCCGAGAGTGGGCAAGGTGAGTGTGGGCAGGGGACAGATGAGAGCTGGGCAATCCCATACTCTGTGTGAGGGGGACAGGGTGTGGCCTTGGTGTGGCAGTGCTGTGTGGGACATGTGAGATGGGGGCCAGAGGACCTGACCTCCCCCCACTGCACAGGGCACATATGAAACACCCTCAAGTGCAGGGCAGAAAGCCCACTCGACACAGTGGTGTGTGTGAGGGTCTCCCCAGCTCAGACAGGCTCCTCAGGGGAGCGAGTGCCCACCCTCTGCCCCCTCGCTCTGCTCCAAGGACGTGAGGAGCGCTCTCCCCGCAGAGCCACCCTCCTGTGGGCCCCATCCCCACCTGTCCTCTACTAATAACCTGAGAAGCCTTGTTCCTCCAGGAAAAACCAAGCACCCTTCCCCGCAGCTGGGCCCAGGCCTATCTGTCCCCACCAAATGCCCCCACCCCCCCGTCTTAGTCCTGGTAATTTCTGGTATTTCCTCCCTGAGAGTCATTCCAGGACCAAGATGACAGGAAAGACCCCCAGGGACATGAGTGACTGACTTGGCAAGGAAGCTTCCAGCTTTTCTCCCATAAATGCCCCCAAATTCCCTTTGGTAACCCAAGACTTCTCCATGCTCTCCTTTCCCCAGCGGCTCCCTCCACGCTGGCGCGCCTCCCTCCCCTCAGAGTTTGAGATATTTTTGGCTCGTCCAACACGATTTCACAGACAGTAGGGATCCGTGCTTCATCAGGGCAACACAGCTGGGCAATTAAAGATTCCCCCAGATTTGCAAAATCACAGTTGGAAGACGACACTTTAACAAAGGCAAGGAAGGTTCTAGCTGGCCGGTTGCTGCTTTGATTAAAGAAGAAGACGGAAGGAAGGAAGAAGTGTGTCCCATGTTGAGAGCCTCCCTGAGAGTCACCTAGGGCCCAGGCCTCCGGGAGCTCAGCTCCAGTGCATGAAACCCTATCATCCACCAGGCGCGTCTCCCACCGAGAGCACTGTACTCCCACTGTGCTCCGGTGCTGCCTTTCCTACTAGAGGGACCTGTGTGGGTGCTCCTGGCTTAGAATGTGGGTGCAAGTTCACCCTGAGATCAAGCACTGAGCAAAGGGCCTATAGACCCTCCCGGGGTAACCTGTTTGACTCCGGGCTCAGCCCTTACGGCCCTCCTGGGGTAACCTGTTTGTGAGCCCCATTGGGGCCTAAGACAGCCCTTTGGGGCCAGAAGCTCAATCCTTTGCACTGTCCCTAGTCACTCACTGCCATAGGTCACCCTCCAGGAAGGCATAGCCGCGGCCAGGACAGTCCAGGGAGGGACATTCCTACAGCTGGGAGTGGCCCTGTCTCATGTCTGGATGTATCAGTACTCCAGACTTACTGCTCCCTGGGAACTGCCCCTCTGGGGTTCTTGCTGGCTGTGTCCCTTGGGAATCTAACAGAAGGAAGATGAACCCACACACTGTAACTCGGTCTTACCTAACCTTGCGGTTCCAGTTCTCCACCAGCCATCCCAGATCTAGGCTTAACCAGCTTCTTCCCTGGGATGGTGGATGGGACTGCTGTACCTGCCCACTGGCCTGAAAGTGATCAGGAAACTAGGCGAGATGAAAGGGACCTCCCAACATCCCTGCTCTCGGAGGAGGTCGGCAGAATAGGCTAGCATGAGCGCTTTCGCCTCCAAGATCAGCCACTCAGATAACATAGGTTTCCCTGAAAGGCACAAACTTGCAAAACTGCCGCAAAAACTAGAAAACATGAAATAAGTTGAACTCACATTAAATAAAATATTATTGTGAATATCAGGCCCAACAGGTCTGCCTTGTCAGACAGACATTTAAAGAAAACAACAAAAGAAGCAAAACCTACACAAAGTCTTTAGTAAGTGAAGGAAGAGGAACATTTCCTAATGGGTTCAGTGAGGTCAGTCTTGCCCTGATACCAGAACCTGATCAAGAACATTTCAAAATACTGAAGATGGCTGCCAGGAATCCGAGGTCAGCTTAGCATTCAAGTCAGTCTGCGTAATCCCCTGTGTTTACAGATGAGAAAAAAGCATACAGTCATCTCAACAGAGAAAGGCATTTGCAAAATTCAACCCCATTTTTAACAACTCTCAGCACATGCCCTAAGGAAGGCCGTCTCCTCAGTCTCTTCAGGGAAACAGAAGTCAAACAGGCCAGCACCTGGGATGGGCTGAGCACAGTCCTGTGACCCGGGAGAAGGCCCGGGCTCCCCTGGTCTTAAATTCAAGACCCTAGTTCCTCGGGGCTCGGGCAGCGATGGGCCCAGGTGTTTCCAGGGTGCCTTAATCTGGGTGCTCATTACCTGAGAGGATTACCTTAATAATCTACCCATACTCCCCTCATCAGATGCCTCTGTGTATAAATTAAACCTCCATGAAAAAGACAAAATAGGTGACCGGCAACACAGAATGCATAGGAAGATTGGGAGCAGGAGTCCAGGAACTCTCCGGAGAGGAGGACACCAGAAGAGAAGATGAACCCACAGACCTGGTGAAGTAACGCACCTGTCCACGTCAGCCTCCTTGGCGTGTGGCCTGTGTGGCTGTTGTCCAGGTGTGCAACGCACCTGCCGCCCGCCTGAGAGGACCCTGCCCTGAACTACGGAGGTGGCAGTGCGCTTCGCTGATCCTGACCTGCCTCACTGTGTCCTCATCTCATGTCCTCATCACCAGAGCTGGGGTGGCCCAGGCCCGCCAGCCCTGCCCTGTCCTGTTCAGTCACTCAGGTGTCTCTACAGTGCCCTGTATGTGAGAGGTAGCCAGGTAGAGACAGGTGGTCCTCTCAGTGTACCCTCACCCCTGTTTCGTGGTCGCTGTGGTAGCGATGGTGCAGTCCAGGCTACAGGGTAAGAGGGCCCTGGCATGGAGCATGGTAGCTGGTGGGCCCTGGGCAGGTGGACCACTGGATGGGGACAGGGAGCAGTCCCTGTCAGGGTCTATGGGGCGGACACAGTGCCCATCTCCTGGTCCTGTCGGGGTGTACAGGGAGGACACGGTGCCCATCTTCTCCTGGTCCTAGCTTTCTGGTGGGGTTTCACCCAATCTGGTGGTGTTTACACTGTGGCGTGGGGTCCTTCATTTAATGTGAGGTTCACAGTCTGTCTCTGCTCCTTACGGGGCTGTCTTCACCTGTGCCACATGGTCCTCACATTTGGGGGGAAGGTGGCCACCCTTTGCCTAGGCGGAGCACCCATGAGGCAAACACGCTTTTAGCACTAGCTCTGTTAGGTCCCTGGTGGCCTCGTCTTGTCACAGACTCCTGGGTGGGTTCTAGTAGGGTTCTGTGGATCCATCCAGTTCTCTACAAATGCAGATGGTTGTGCATCTTCCTTTCCAACCTGGCTCCTGGGTCACTGCAGTGTCCAGAGCCTCGAGCCAACCATGTGGGTCCCCATGGGGGCGTCTCCATGCCCCTGGAAGGCAGGGACACCCAGTCTCTGGCGGTCTGTGGGAAGGCGGCTCCCCTGACCTTGAGCCCCTTGGTCTGTGTCCTTGCAGGGGGATGCTGGCCCCGTATGCTGTGCCCTCCGAGCTACTGCTGGTGGAGGAAATCCCTCGGAACCCCATGGGGAAGGTCAACAAGAAAGAGCTGCTCCATCAATTGTACCCGGGGGCCCCGGGACGGGCAGGGTGAACAGGCGTCCTGCCACACCAAGTGCTGCCCAGTGTCCCACCTGCCTCTGAACAGCCTCCCTACCCGATGACCAGGCTGGGAAGGGTTCAGGTGGCTCCCCGAGTCATCTTGTGGGCACTGTGTCAGCCGGTCCTCTGCCTGTCCTGAAGGGACAGGACTTGCCCAGGCAGATCCCCGGACAGTGCGGGGCCCAGAGACGCCCAGAGCAGCAGTCCCTGAGAGATTAATAAAGAGCGAGGAGAAGGGACTGTCTGCACACAGCTGTGTGACCACACCCCTCTCCACACCGCATGTTTTCTGTCCATCTAGGACAGAGGTGAGTCCTGGGGGTGGCTGCATCCTCCCTCTGCCCACTGTGAGTGCCGGGGCCTGTTCACCATGCAGCTGGAGGCTGGTGGACTTCCTCCTGAGGACCCAGTCGTCCCAGCTCTGAGGCTGTTCCCCGGGCCATGGTCCCAGGAAGCAGCCTGGAGCGGATCCCATGAAGTGAACATGGGGCTGGTGTGGGCTCCTCTCCACTGCCCTCTCCAGAATATGGTCAGTGGGTCCTCATCTGTCGTGACATGGGTGTCCCCCAGCGATGGTCAGCGTCCAGCAGCCCCATCAGGGCCCTGGTGACAGATGCACTGAGGAAGCCATAGGGCCCCAAGTTACCCTTCCGCTGGGCTGTGGGTCCGTCCCACCTAGAGCCGCCTTGCCACGCATCAGTCTTGTGGAGATGTGGACCCCTCACATCTCGTGGCTCTTCACAGCTTGCCACATGGCTCCAGCTCAGGGACTCCGAGTTGGGCTCACTTGTGCTTCATGAGCGTCCAGGTGTTAACTGGGATTCTAGGAGTCACTGTGGGGGACAGCCAAGTGAGGCCTCACCCTGACCACCTGTGTTCAGGCCAGGACCCCCTTTGTTCTGTGGTGTCATGTGACATGACCACATCTGGGTCCAGCCCCCAGCAAGGACAGAGTGGTGGCACAGTGGTGTCCTAGGCCAGGCCAGGTGGGGGTCGGGGGTCAGTGCAGCTGCTCTCCACCAACAGCAATGCGGTAAATCAATCCCCTCTCATGGCAGGCAGCTGGGGGACAGGTCGTGGTGGATGGCAGTACCGCCTCATACACCACAGCTGATACAGCCCCTAGTGAGGATGGGTGGCCAGACCACTGCTGTCCCCCTGTGAGTGGGCAGGCAGGGGCTCCTGCTAGGTCCAGAGGCACCCAACGACAAAAGCATGATAGACTTGCTCTGGGTGATGCCGTGTCACTTAGGCTGTGGCCTCAGGAGACAGGCACCTTTCTTACCCTCATGTCCTACAGTGGACGCTTGGCTGCCGGTGCTGAGGGGAGGGTCGTCTTAAGGATGCCCTTGAGCCAGGCCCTGCTGACCTGTAACCTTTCTGTGTCCACCCTCCAATCCGGGGGGCTAGCCTGTCCCAGTTCTGGTCACTGGTGTTACTGTGTGTGGCTCTGCGCTCAGTGACACTCCACTGGGAGGAGGACACGGCCGACCTCCATCCTCTTACACACTTGTCAGACACGATCCTGGAACCAAGTGCAGAAAGGGGTGCTTGGGCACTGCGAATGCATTACCCGGCCTCCCGGGGCCTTGAACTCCTCCCTGGTGAGCGAGGGGAGGCTTGTGGGCTCCTCAAAGGCGTTCCATTGCGTCCACATCGCTGGTGCAGGAGGTCCTCTTCAGGACAGCACCTCCCCATGTAGACCCTCAGCCTCCAGAGCTGTCGCCTGAGGTCGGACTCATGAACGTGTGTGTGAATCTGTGCTGTTGTGTACAGTGAAGAGTGTGTGCATGGGGGGCACGTGGGGGTGTGTCTGTCACGTGTGTGTGTACATGCCCATGTGTGTCAGGCCCCACAGCAGAGGGAGCTGAGAGCCCTGGGTGGACATCCATCCTTAAATATGTGTGCAAGTTTGTCAGGTGTGTTTGTATACTCCAGGCGTGAAGCTGCCTGTGAGGGGTGCCGTAGGGGGTGGGTGTGTCTGTGTGGGTCACCGTGGTGTATGGGGGTGTACGTGTGCCCATGTGGGTTACTGCGGGGTGTGGGTGTGTCTGTGGGGTGCCGTGGGGCAACAGTGCCTGTACCAGGTTCAGGAATGCTGGACCCTTTAAGAATGCCCCTGCCCTTGCAGTTCTGTGTGGGCTCCCACAAGCCCCACGTTGGTCAGACACATGCCATTCCACGGCTCGGTAATGAGTCCACTTCCACGCGGCCCGCCAGCCTCGCCCCCACCACGGTGCAGTAAAAAGCATCAGAAGCTGTTAGCGCCTGCCTTAACTGGGGTCGGGGTGGTGGGTGTGTGCCTTCAAGTTGGTTCTGACTCGTAGCGACCCTGTGTAGGGTTTCTGAGGCTGTAAATCTTTATGGGAGCACAAAGCTTCATCTTCCTCCCAATAGCAGCTAGTAGATTTGAACTACTTACCTTGTGGTTAGCAGCCCAGTTTGTAATCCATTATGCTACCGAGGCTGTTTTACTGGGGAAAACGCTTCCTGTTACAAAATAAAACCTCCCGTGCCAGCTGGATTGGCTGCTTCCTTCACACACACACATGCAACACAGAGGTGCCTGTAGCCTTGCTCAGTGGGGAGACATGGCCCATCTGGGTGCCCAGTAGTGGGAGGGAAAGTGTGGGACCTTCCTGCAGGTGAGAAAACAAGTAGAGTGCCTTCCTCCCCACACTTAGATGTCTGAGCACAACATGGAGCCCAGAGCTGTAGAAGGATCTGAACCCCACGATGTCCGTGGCCCCAGTTTCACTGACAGACAAGACCGTGTTGTGAGTGGCCGGCTGTATCACCTGAGGAAGGTATGGCACTGAGGAGTGTAGAACCACACCTGTCACATAACCTCTCCGAAGGTTGGAAGGAGACACCATGTGAGGTTAAGTCTTGAGGTTGGTGGAAGACACAGACTGGACAGGGCCTCTTGTGTCCTCTGAGTGTAAAATATTCTTCCAGGCCTCCAAGTTCCAGGGCACATGTGCAGGATTGGGGTTTTCCAAGCGTGGGCACCTTCTGTGACCTCAGTGTGGTGGATTCCTTCCAGAGGCAGTGTGAGGTATCCCCCTTCCCCAGCTGTAAACACGCCACCCTTCTGTGCACATCATTGCGTGACCTCCACGTTAGCTCGTGTGGCAGCTCATGGGTGTACTAACCCTAACTCTCTAGGTTTCTTTATGAGTTATCTGACCATATCTTTACCCACTCTTGGGTCAGGTCACTCGAGTTATGTGTTTGTCTTTCTGCCTTGTTCATGCTATCTATCGATGTACAGACACTGTGTATTTTAATGTACTTAAAATGCGCTCATCTTTTTTTACAGTTGAGTTTTAGGTGCTCCTTTCCTGCTCCAAGGTCTGAAACTTATCTTCCCACAGGTCCTTCTAAAAGGCCGCACGATTTCCTTTCCACAATGGGAATCTCTTCTTGGCATGGCATGAAAGAGAGCCCGGATGTCTCCCAAATGGAGAATCGATTCTCCTGAGTGTTTATGGAATGGTCCACCTCTCCCCACAGAATGACTTGTTGCCTCTCTCCAGGTGTACTCAGGTGTGGCCTTCTGCTTCACGGGCTGATGTCTCTAAGCTGCACCAATTCTCCTGTGTCACCTCCCTGGCCTTTAGTCTTATATCTCCCTCTCCCCACCCCACCCCCAGGACAACCCCTCCCCTTGTGACAGGTGGGAAGGCTGGGTGGTCCCGGCCATCAGAGATGTATGGCTGCAGAAGGGGACCTGCACTGGGGTTTGGGGGGCCTGGCTGGCCATCGGTTCTGCCACAGACACTGATGATGTGATTTTTACAGTTATTGGGAATCTGTGCTCCCTTGATGTTGCCGTTATGGGCAGGAAATGGGGTCAGGGTCCAAGCTGGCAGGAGCTGACTTGAGGGCCCCACAGCACCCAAATGGGGGAACCCAGTGGGCTCTCAGGGGCATGCCCAGACACCTCCCCGACAAACTAATGCCTCTTCTGAACCACCTCTGAGAACCCCCTTACTCCTCCCGCATCCCTACAAACCTCACCCCTGTTCCCTGTGGGCAGCTGGACACAGAGTGGGGCCTAAGTGTGAGGGTTTCCCGGCCCCATGTCCACTTGCCCATGGGAGAGTCCCCTCAAAGCTGAGCCAGGGGAGGGGGCAATGTTAAAATGCATAAATGGTTATAAACTGGACCCGTTTGCCTCTACAGTAGCCACGCCTCCCTGGCTGCCCTGCACCCGCGTACCTGGCACTGGTGAACCCTGCGTGACCTCGGAACCCCTCAAAGCAGCTGGCCAGCACGTGGGCAGTCGAACTGGGCATCACCTGACAGGACACCACAGACGCCTCATGTCATGAGCCCTGACCACTGACCCCTCTAGTGGCTCCGAGGGTGGAGGGACAGGGAACGCTGGCTGTCTGCCAGATCCCTCTGCTCTGTGTTAGACAGCCATGAAGCTCTGGTGTGGGACCATTTCTAGAGGGGCCTCACGGGAGCCCATTCCCCAGCCCAGCTGTCTTCCCTAGAACCGCATTGCCCCCTGCTGGTGCCGGCAGGCCACAACCAAGCTGTCAAGTGAAAGGGTGACCCAGGTCCCCGTGGCCTCAACACCCTGGCTGAGCCTCCAGGAAGGTTAGCTGGGGCTGGCTGTACCCAAGGAACGGGTTATCAATGAGGTGGGAGCTTCTGATGCTTTCCACCCGTGAGGGACAGGGAGTGTCAGACTGAGGTCTGAATCTCTGGACAGGAAGCTGAGGCCAGGTTGGGCAGTGTGGGGCAGGGCTCCCGATCGCCAGCAGCACAGAAACTTGGAGCTTTAAAGCCAGGGATGGAGGCTGGGATGGTGCCTGCCTGCCCCTCAGCCCCCCCGAGACTTCTCTGGTCAGTGTCCCTGTGAGACCCCCAGGATCCTCAGCTCAGGAGGGCGGTGGGCATCAAGTACACCAGCCCCAGTCCAGTTGTTGCTCTTTTTACCTGCTATTGGAGCCCTGTTGTGTGGCACTGTGGGTTAATGCACCAGACTACAAAGTCATTTGAACTGCAAGGTCGGCGGTTCAAGCTCACCAGCTGCTCCTCAGAAACCCTATACAGGGTCACTATGGGTGGGAATTGACTTGACGGCACTTAACAACAACAACAAAGGCCTTTTTAAAGGACTGGACCCTTTGGGGGCATATGGAGCTTCTGAACAAAGAAATGGGCCCAATACATATGGGTGCTGACCTGGGGCCCTGAATCGCACTGCACCCCATGGCCTGACCTCGGACCTGGGACCTCTAGATGGCCAGGCCCCAAAGCAGGACCACCCAGCCCCTTGGGCCTGAACACTGGTACGAGACCCTCTATGTTGTCTCTGGAGTCATTTCAGGAACGGGAAGCTCTGCCTGACCCTAACCCTAACCACCACCCTGGCTCCTGGTCAGGCACAGTGAATGCCGCTGGTGCC